ACAAAATGAATATAATTGGTTGACTGAGCAATGAGGTGTTTTAAAAGTGTTGTCAAAATCGTCTTCTTCTCATTTTAGGCTTAAAGAGAAGGTTGAGTTCTGGGGAGAGGTGAAAACAAATTTATGAGCGTTATCTTTGTTATTATGCAAGTGTGAGAGAACACCTTAGAAGAAATGTTTCCTTGAAAAGCATGTCTCTTCAAATGTCTTCATATTGTTAATATGACAGGTAACAGCTTAAAAATGAGGCCATTTTTTATGCCACGTGTTTATGTAGTCCCATATACATCTTCATGTTCACAGTACTTGTTACTTTACGAAGACTGGGCCAAATTTCTTATCATTTTGTTGACTCCAGAACCTTGGAGTTTACACCAATAGTAATATGCTATATGATCAACATTTCCTGATCGATTCCACATCGTTTCTTTCACAATGCAATTGCAGGACCAACACTCAACTTTATTTTTAAGGAACCAGTGTGGGCCAGGCGATATGCATGTGCTTATTTGGTCTTTAATCCTTTTAAATGTTCAATTATGCATCTTGCTTAAAAGTAACAGCTTAAAAATGAGGCCCGATTTTTATGCCACATGTTTGTGTAGTCCCATATGCATCTTTATGTTTACAGTACTTTACATTACAGTTTTTTACCGAGCCATACGGAGGAGAGACATAAGGAGGAGAGTGGAGAGGGGGAGAGGGGGAGAGAGAGAGAGGGATGAGAGAGGAAGAGAGAGAGAGAGAGAGAGAGAGAGAGAGGGAAAGGGAGAGAGAGGGAAATGCAAAGAATATTAAACACTCAGGGCTTGTTCAGATATGATGTAGAAGTCCTATGCAAAAAAGCTGCTGCGTAATTACTGAGCTAATTTATGTTATATAGATATATCACAAAAATAAGAAGCGTAGTACACTTTAAGTCGTCTTAAGACTTTATGGTTTTCATCATATTTGAACAAGGTCAAGGTTGTAAAAGTTTAATCTAATTGGTAAGGGCAAAATCAAGACCAGCTCTAAACAATTGCGCCTCAAAAGTATTTATAGTTTGTTTTTTTTACACGAAACATCTTCAATATCCGACTAAGCTCTTCCATTACTTTATACAGAGCTATTCAACTATTTTAACCTTCATTATTTAGAGCCTTAAATAATATTATATTTGTCACAGCATTTTCTATATACACCTTATATGAACAGATAATGATTTTTTATTTATAAGAAATGACAATGATTGTGGTTCAACCTTAAATAGGCCTCTTTCATCAGATATAAAAAGAGAAGGTTGAGTTCTGGAAACGATGGCACATTATTTAGAAGCTTTTTCATTCTTTTGCATTCCCTCTTTGCATGTATCCCTGCATGGCTGTCCCTTTACCTTCCCTCTTGCTTTAATTCCTACTCTATACCCCTCCTTTTCCCCTCTCCTTGTTGTATGTACAGATATCGTTTTTAGTCTATCTGTCCATAATCGCCTCTCTGCATGTAATTCAACCCCTACCTCCTCGTGGTACTAATCGGATACCTGGGCCTCGCGGTCTGGGGAACTGACAGGGGCTCTGGGTAGGGAAGGAAAACCCGATAAAACCTCAGGTGTGGGGTGGTGGCCTTCTCCTTGAATCAACAGAACATCGTTGTACCTAACTGGGAATTCATTGAGATATGAATGAGGAAGTGGAATTCAGAATACAATACAGAACAAAATACTGATTACAATAAGCTTATTTGCATTCATATTACCACATGCATTCCAGTGGTACTACCCCTCTCAAACAGGGCTATCATTCCATAAACTATCCCAAATCTATTTTAAGGGACGCAAACAGGATGGAAAGTGTATTAAAATAAGTGTCTGATGTATATTATACAAAAATACATTAAACTACAACATTTAATACAATCATTGCCTTTCTATGATGTCTAAATCAAAAACAGCATTGTAGAGTCATGTACCTGCATGAGTATTCTTTCATGGTATATTGGAGAGGTGCTTAAAGATCAAAATTCCCTTTTTTATTATCAAAAAGGCTTTGCAGGTGATTTTAACCACTGTTACACAATGGCACGATTACATTCAAAGTTGGTCGTTGGCAGACACACAAAAGATAATTTCCCATTCCCATTCGTCATACATTCAAGAACATTTTCTACAAAATACGGCTCCTTAAAAGCAGGTACAAAATTGATTCAGCCGAAAATGCAAGTTCGAAACTGGGTCACGTCTTTCTAAAAGTCGGTCCCCAGACGTAAATAATCATATCTGATTGATACACGTCTGTAAAAAAAAAAAAAAAAATTACATACCCACACACACACACACACCATTAAAGCCAAGTTCTTTTCTTCCCATTCAACTTGTTTGAAACTGCGTTTAATTCCACCCGTGGTTATAAATCAACTTCTCTTCCCATGAAAATCAAATACTTAACGAAAATTGAAAAGTGATTGACCAATTGCTCCATTCTTTGATCAATTAATGTGATTACAAAATATAGTCAAATATATTATTACAGTCGTTCCATATCAAATGAACTCTTTCCCATTCAAAAGAAAAAGGACGATATGTCTCCTCTTCCTTTTTGCATAAACAACACGAAACAGTTTGGGGAATTCTAAATTGAAACAAATGATGATTTGTGAAACCAGTTCCATGCAATAGTTCAAATTGGAACTCCCTTGATCGGCCATTTGATTTACCTTGTCTTATCATTGACATTTTTTTTGTACACACCCACAAAATACATTTTCGCTAAAAAGGTACGTACGTGTATGCGTTCACATGTTTCCAAACATCATCTTGGAAATGTTTTTCCATGAAATTTCTTTGTCTTTGAAAGAAAAATACCTTTTTTTAAATCAATCTGCAAAAGTTTCAGTGGTCACATAATCTCTGAAAATTATCCTTTTTTGTGGGAATTTCGAATCTACCATACCTCCACAATATTAACATGAAATGATACCAGCCGGGGGAGTATCCACTCAGAACAGCATACAGTGGTTTACAAAATGAATATAATTGGTTGACTGAGCAATGAGGTGTTTTAAAAGTGTTGTCAAAATCGTCTTCTTCTCATTTTAGGCTTAAAGAGAAGGTTGAGTTCTGGGGAGAGGTGAAAACAAATTTATGAGCGTTATCTTTGTTATTATGCAAGTGTGAGAGAACACCTTAGAAGAAATGTTTCCTTGAAAAGCATGTCTCTTCAAATGTCTTCATATTGTAAATATGGCAGGTAACAGCTTAACAATGAGGCCATTTTTTATGCCACGTGTTTGTGTAGTCCCATATACATCTTCATGTTCATAGTACTTGTTACTTTACCAAGACTGGGCCAAATTTCTTATCATTTTGTTGACTCCAGAACCATGGAGTTTACACCAATAGTTATATGCTATATGATCAACATTTCCTGATCGATTCCACATCGTTTCTTTCACAATGCAATTGCATGACCAACACTCTAATTTAATCTAATATAATTGGTAAGGGCAAAATCAAGACCAGCTCTAAACAATTGCGCCTCAAAAGTATTCATAGTTTCTTTTTTTTACACGAAACATCTTCAATATCTGACTAAGCTATTCCATTACTTTATACAGAGCTATTCAACTATTTTAACCTTCATTATTTAGAGCCTTAAATAATATTATATTTGTCACAGCATTTTCTATATACACCTCATATGAACAGATAATGATTTTTTATTTATAAGAAATGACAATGATTGTGGATCAACCTTAAATAGGCCTCTTTCATCAGATATAAAAAGAGAAAGTTGAGTTCTGGAAACGATGGCACATTATTTAGAAGCTTTTTCATTCTTTTGCATTCCCTCTCTGCATGTATCCCTGCATGGCTGTCCCTTTACCTTCCCTCTTGCTTTAATTCCTACTCTATACCCCTCCTTTTCCCCTCTCCATGTTGTATGTACAGATAGCATTTTGTCTATCTGTCCATAATCGCCTCTCTGCATGTAACTCAACCCCTACCTCCTCGTGGTACTAATCGGATACCTGGGCCCCGCGGTCTGGGGAACTGACAGGGGCTCTGGGTAGGGTAGGAAAACCCGATAAAACCTCAGGTGTGGGGTGGTGGCCTTCTCCTTAAATCAATAGAACATCGTTGTACCAGACTGGGAATTTATTGACCGCGTGCCCAGTTTATGTGCTTTAGCACACTGGTCAAAACTCCTTCGGGAAATCTACCAATCATGAACAAAAATCCAAAGCCATGGCCCCGAGTCCCGGTGGCTGCTACACGGCAGCATAGCGGCAGGGGTGCGAAGATTATGCCGTTATTGTCAAGGCTGCCACCCTCCTTACAGGTACAAGTCGCAGATGAAACAGCATACAACCCAAGGAAGAAGACTTCAGAGAACACAGCAAAGAAGAGGACAACAGAAGATTCATCAAGGAAAAGTAGGACTGCGCCATCAACAAGGAAGGCCAACAAAGTACAGTCAAAAAGAGCAATTGTAAGTAGGCCAATTGTGACAATGCATCCCGCTCGTAAAGGGAAGCTACCTGATATGACTAAGGATACACCTGGTGGGGTCAAAGTTGGGGAGAAGATGAAAACTAGAGGCTTGAGTATAGCAGCCTGGAATGTGAGGACAATGAAGACAACCGGGCACTGGGACATTTTAATGGAGGAAGCAAGGAGATTTCAACTAGACATCCTTGGCCTTAGCGAGACACACCTCACTGATGTAGAGACCCTCATTACTAAAGATGGGTACACCTTTTTACTGTCAAGCCGAAAAGACAATAGAAGCCGTGAGGGAGTTGGCATAATGATTTCACCAAATATACTCCACTGCCTACTGGGTTATGAAGCAGTATCGTCCAGAATGATTACAGAAAAATTCCAGATGAAAGGAGGAGTCTTGAATATCATTCAAGTTTATGCACCCACAAGTGGACATGGTGATCAAGAGAGTGATTAATTTTATGATCTGCTTCAACTACATATCCAACAAATCCCAAAGAAAGAGAAGTAGATAATTATGGGGGACTTTAATGCCAAGATAGGATCAGACTTTAAAATATGGGCACCTGCCTTAGGCAAGTTTGGACTTGGAGTGATGAATAGCAGAGGAGAAAAGCTAATGGAGTTCTGTATGATCCATAGACTAGCAGTCAGTAACACATACTTCCAACATAAGGACTGTCGAAGAGCAACTTGGACTTCGCCAGGTGGCCTATATAAGAACCAGATTGACTTTATCTTGGTGTACCAAGATGACTTAAAGAGCATCAAAAATAGTAGGTCGTTCTGCTCTGCTGACATTAGGTCAGATCTCAACCTTGTTTTAGCCAATGTACAGTTTCAGCCACCAAAAGCTAGAAGAATAAAGAGCGTACAGAAGTCATATGATGTGGGCAGGTTTAAAAACCCATCTGTTGCTGAAGAATTCCAAGCCCGAATTGGTGGAGCGTTCGAACCATTGTTGCTGCTGGAAGATACAGACATAGATGAGCTCTGGTTAAGGTTCATGAATACAACCAACGAGATTACCAAGCAAGTTGTTGGCATCAGGAGAGGGAAACAAGTGAAACATCTCCGAGAACATGTGAGAGATGCTTGTGAACTCAGAAGGAAGGCTAGGGTAACTAAACTGAACTCACCTCATAATAATCATAATATTATGAAGTACCGGCGCCTTAACAAAAAAGTTAAATATGAAGTCAAAAAGTGGAAGAGGGAAACTCTCAAGAAAGAAGTAGAGGAAATGGAGGCAGCACAGGCACGAAATGACAGCCATGAGCTATTTAAGAAAGTAAGAAAACTAGCTGGTGAGAAGGAGAGGATACAGCCAGCAGCCAAGAACAAAAAGGGGGTCCTCAAAACTGCTCCAGGAGATGTTTTGGATTGTTGGAAAGAACATTTCAGCACCCATCTTAATACAGAGTTCCCGAGAGACACCAACACACTTCGCAATATACCTGAACCTCCTCCTACTGAAAACCAGACTTAACCTTTTACCATAGAAGAGGTTAAAGCTGCGATTTGATAACATAGCAGCTGAAACACTGAAATCTGGTTGTCTAGCAATGGCACAGATCTTGCTGAAGATCATCAACACTGCTTTTATGCAAGGCGAGACACCAGTTGAGTGGGGCAAAGGCCTTATTACCCCTGTGCACAAAAAGGGGGATAAACTTGACCCAGCTAACTACCGAGCCATAACACTGCTATCAGTGCCGGCCAAAAATTTCTGCAGGATGGTGCTCAGTAGGATCCAAGGGACAATTGAAGAGCATTTATCGGAAGAGCAGTGTGGATTCCGGAGCTCCAGGGGAACCACTGATGCTATTTTCATTGTCAGGCAAGTGCTGGAGAAGGCCAAAGAGAGCAGGGGCGTAAATCCCGGGGGATGGGGGGGGGGCTGCATCCCCCCTGGTTTGAAGTAGGGGGGATGGCCTGTACAATCATCCCCCCCTGATATTACCAACAAAAAAAAGAGAGGAAAAAAAAGGAAGAAAAAGAAGAAGAAAAAAATGTGATTGTTTCAATTGCAGCATAATGCATGAGAAATGAGTTATTTTGTTTATGTATAGCCTACACGTATAGTATGTCACGATAGGGAAACGTCAAGGCTTCCGCGCTTCGCGCGAGAGGGGGAAACTGAATTCAGATAAATAGGGCTTATTAAGAGTCGAAAACGGTGCAACGAATCGTCTTCTTTCTATAATAATTAAATCAAACGTCTAAGATTTTCGCGCTTCGCACGGGAAGGGGAAACTGAATTCAGACGAGAATTAAGAGTCGAAAACAGTACACTCAATCGTCTGCTTTCTCTAATAGTTTAAGGAAACGTCAAGGCTTCCGCGCTTCGCGCGAGAGGGGGAAACTGAATTCAGATTAAATATGGCTTATTAAGAGTCGAAAACGGTGCAACGAATCGTCTTCTTTCTATAATTATTAAATCAAACGTCTAAGCTTTTCGCGCTTTGCGCGGGAAGGGGAAACTGAATTCAGACGAGAATTAAGAGTCGAAAACAGTACACTCAATCGTCTGCTTTCTCTAATAGTTTAAGGAAACGTCAAGGCTTCCGCGCTTCGCGCGAGAGGGGGAAACTGAATTCAGATTAAATATGGCTTATTAAGAGTCGAAAACGGTGCAACGAATCGTCTTCTTTCTATAATTATTAAATCAAACGTCTAAGCTTCTAGCGCTTTGCGCGGGAGGGGAAACTGAATTCAGACGAGAATTAAGAGTCGAAAACAGTACACTCAATCGTCTGCTTTCTCTAATAATTTAAGGAAACGTCAAGGTTTTCGCGCTTCGCGCGAGAGGGGGAAACTGAATTCAGATTATGGCTTATTAAGAGTCGAAAACAGCGCAACGAATCATCTTCTTTTTATAATAATTAAATCAAACGTCTAAGCTTTTCGCGCTTCGCACGGGAAGGGGAAACTGACTTCAGACGAGAATTAAGAGTCGAAAACAGTACACTCAATTGTCTGCTTTCTCTAATAGTTTAAAGAAACGTCAAGGCTTCCGCGCTTCGCGCGAGAGGGGGAAACTGAATTCAGATAAAATATGGCTTATTAAGAGTCGAAAACGGTGCAACGAATCGTCTTCTTTCTATAATTATTAAATCAAATGTCTAAGCTTTTCGCGCTTTGCGCGGGAAGGGGAAACTGAATTCAGACGAGAATTATGAGTCGAAAACAGTACACTCAATCGTCTGCTTTCTCTAATAATTTAAGGAAACGTCAAGGCTTTCGCGCTTCGCGCGAGAGGGGGAAACTGAATTCAGATTATGGCTTATTATCAGTCGAAAACGGTGCAACGAATCATCTTCTTTCTATAATAATTAAATCAAACGTCTAAGCTTTTTGCACTTCGCGCGGGAAGGGGAAACTGAATTCAGACGAGAATTAAGAGTCGAGAACAGTACACCCAATCGTCTGCTTTCTCTAATAATTTAAGGAAACGTCAAGGCTTCCGCGCTTCGCGCGAGAGAGGGAAACTGAATTCAGATAAAATATGGCTTATTAAGAGTCGAAAATGGTGCAACGAATCGTCTTCTTTTACTAATAATTTAAGGAAACGTCTAAGCTTCCGCGGTAGGCCTATCACCCGCACACACCCCTATTGAGCGAGCGTGTGTGTTTGTTGTGTGTTTGTGCGTGCGCGCTTGCGTAAAAAAGCGTGGGCGTGTGCTCCTGCTAGTACGTGATGGCTATCGCCTATCACTCCCCCCCCCCCCCGCTCCTCGGTACGGATTTACGCCCCTGAAAGAGAGACACATCCCCATCCATTGGAATTTTGTGGACTTCAAAGCAGCATTCGATACTGTCTGGAGGGATGCTTTATGGAAGTGCCTTCTTTCAATAGGAGTTGAGAAGAACCTGATTGACCTCATTAAGTATATGTATATGATCAGACCAAATGTGCTGTCATCGTAAATGGCAAAGTTACGGAATGGTTCCAAGTTAAGACAGGCGTCAGGCAAGGCTGTCTTCTTTCCCCAAGTCTATTCAACATCTTCCTAGAGTTCGTGATGGCAGATGTCAGAAACCTAGACAGTGGAGTACAGATGGGTGGCATACGCTTTAACAACATCCGCTAAGCATATGACACCACTCTACTCGAACTCATCTATGACAAACTCCAAATATAAACAAACAAGCTGGTGGAAGTTTGTGGCAAATGGGGAATGAAAATCAACACAGCTAAATGTAGAATCATGACAATCGATGATGGGGAGACTTCAATAGATGGCAACCCTATAGAGAAGGTTAAAGACTATGTCTTCCTTGGAAGTGTAGTCCCCTCTGTTACCAAAAATGTCAAGAGACGCATAAATCTGGCTTCCTGTGGGCATTTGGCAGACTGAGAAACAATATATGGACCAACCAAGATATTTCAAGAGCCCTAAAGGTCAGGATTTATAATGCCCTCATTCGTCCTATAGCTTCCTTACGGGTCTGAGACGTGGACGCTAAGGAAAACTGGCCGGGATAAACTGGAGACCTGTGAGATGAGATGTCTGCGGACAATAGCAGGAGTCCATCTTCTAGATAAAATCAGAAGCGTAGTCATCAGAAAGTCATTAAAAATCCCCAAGACAATAAAGGAGGAAATATCCAACCGCCGCCTAAAATGGTTTGGATATGTAGTACGTATGCCACAGAAACGCCTACCAATACAAGTCCACACCAATTACTTTACTGTGCCACGGCCACCAGGACGTCCTCCCCTGAGGTGGAAAGACCAAATCCGCCAAGACTCTGGATTAAGCCTGGAGGCTGCCCAACACCAAGCCCAGGACAGAAATGAATGGAGGCAGACCACCAGTAGGAGCGCAAGGGGACACTCCGTCTTGAGCACTTAAGTCAAGTCAAGTCAGTAAGTCATCTTATTGTGAAGGAATATCATAGAACAAATAAGGTCACCGAGGTTTGTCACGCTAAGGTGTCTCGAGTGAGAACATAATGAATGTCGATTCTGAGCTATGGAAAATGATTATAAATTAAAAACTAGTTATTCAAAATGTCTATTGAGCAGGAGCAACACAATAACAGAGCTATGTCATGACCCACTGAGCACAATGTACAGTTACTCGATATCGAAACAGCCACCCTGTATAAAGAAGACTTTAGTGATTGTAATCATTTTGGAATTGGTCTGATTTTCAGACCGTTGTACCGAGTTGTCGTACGTTTTGTGCTGAGCAAAGATTCCATTAGTTTAATTTTGACCACTACATGAAGTGGTTAATTGATGTATACAAATGATAATGTACCGTTACAGCTCACTTTATGTATGTTATTACCAAAGAAAAATAATAAGTCAGTCACTCAATAGTGTCTGACAGTGGAGTCTAGAAAGTAAACAGGTTTCCTTGCATAATTTGAATATTAGGACACTGCTATCGTTTAAATGTCGCATATAAGACGTACGTGACATATTCATGATTCCTGCAAAGTGAATCTACATAATTTGATGTTGGCTGCAAATGGGATATAGTACCATTAGAGGTTGTATGCATTTATTGTACGAAGCCATCGAGCTATTAAAGTACAAGGTGCATAAACAGACTAAACAAAAGGAGATAGTTTGGAGAGGTAATTCCATTCACGTGAAACCTACAATTGATTGAACTCTCACCATCAACTATTTCCTGTACCCAGAACATAACCTTCTACAGGTGGGTGAAGAATACGAGGTAACATCTCTCCAGAAACTGCATTGCTTATTCAGAGCCAGAAGGGCATTAACTCTGTGCAAAAGTATAGAAGTCAACGCCTTTCTGGCTACAAACAGATATTTCATCTCAAGAATAGATAACTTCACCAACCCTGATATTAATGTGTACCAATTACCTGATATAAAAGTTTGTGTATAGCTATAAAAGAACCGTGACACACACACACACTTTGCTTGGCACTATATACATGTGGTTTAACAGTTAAGAAATGTATACAGAAAATAACGGACCATAATAAAATTGGTTCCCATGGTCCGACATGGTTTCATTGCCTTATGAGAGCGTGTATGCATACATCATCCATTCTACTCTATCTGTTCCCTTACCTTTGGAGGCCATTGGGGTGACAATGAAAAATCCTAACCCCCCCCCCCCCCCCCAACAAAAAAGTGTCCTCTTACCCCCCCCCCCCCAGCGGCTGGCTGAGTCGTTTTTTGGGGACTAAAAAAAATATATATATATGTTCTCTTACCCACCCCACCGTGTGTTCCGCCGTGTGCCCCCCCCCCCCCCCCGGCAAGAAATTTCAGGATCCGCCCCTGGGTATTTATCAGGCTTTGGTTCTCTAGTCACTATTTGATTATGTTTTGCAATCTTACATTGGATTTTTGTGTTATTGTACATGTGTTTATTTATTACTATCTAAATCTAAGAAATTTATACTTAAATCACGAACTTAAACTCAACAAGAATTGCACCACAATCCACCACACCACACTTACTTTGTCTCTTCTTTGTCATAGGTTTGTCCCCA